AATCCCGTCCCTCGAGTCAGCTCCCCCGCAGAGCTCCTCCATCCATCCAAGGGGGACCACCGCACTGCAGCTCCACATCACAGGTAGGGGTTTGGGGAGGTGGGTGAAGGAGCTTATCTGAGAGCTCCTACATCGGGCTCTCATCAGCCGCCATGGTTAGGCTCCGCCTCCGTTTGTGTTACTTCTTAATAAGAATTGTAAATTAATTATTCTTCAGGGTTTCTGTGTTTTAGCACTTGCAAATCAAAGATAGATAGATAGATAGCTAGATAGATAGATAGATAGCAACATTTCCTATAAAAGAATAGAGTATAACCAATCAGAATATTGTCATCTACAAGGGTTCCATTAGCAGGTTGCACCTACATTGCCCTATAATGGAGACATCCAAGGTGTGGAAGAACCGGAAATAATGTTTTTATATGCTCCATTCACTTAAAACAAAACATCTAAAGGGCATATGAGATATTATAATATTCCTACAATGCATTTTGAACCAAATAGACTTTAGCAATACTTCTGATTAAGACCTTTGAGTTGAAATGTGTTATAGGTGTTTTTACTAAGTGAAACAATATTTAACACTTCACCTCTGATGCTGATGTGATGACTATTATATTGAGGAGGCTCTGGATCTTGGCATTTCCTAATTCTGCATAGTAGGATTCTATCAGAGGAGGTAGTCTGCTGAATAGACAGACATAGAGTAACTGTTTTTTTTTGCAGTTTACTAAACAGATACAAATTTATAAGCAATAATGCAAAACAGGTTCGGGATGGCAAAAAAAAAAAAAATTGCATACAGTGCAGAATAAGGAAGGCTGGACAAATATAGTCTATTTAAGTCTATATAACAACAGAGAGTCAATCTTTGAATCACTTCAGTAAAACAGATTATTAATAATAGTAATAATAATTATTATTATTATTCAGGATTTATAAAACAGCAACAATTTGCACAACACTTTACAATATAAAGGAAGACAATACAGTTACAATACAATAAAAACACAAGAAGGTTAAGAAGGCTCTGACAATAAGAACATGCAATCTGATAGGGTGAGGAAAGTGGTACAAAAGGTAATACCTGTGGGTGAGGAGCAGATGGAAGAATTGAAAAGTACAGTTGTTAGGTGGAGGTGGGATAGGTCTCCCTGAAGAGATGGGTTTTCAGAGGTTTTCAGGGATCATCTAAAGGTGTACAGAGTAGGAGATAGCTGGACAGATTGGGGGAGAGAGTTTCAAAGGATGGGAGAGTCTCTGTATAAGTCATGGAGAGGAGCATGGGAACAGGAGACAAGAGAGCAGGAGGTCTTGGGAGGAGCAGAGAGGATAGTTGATATTTTGAGGCAAGATTGATGATGTAGCTCATAGAGGAGTTGTGAATGGCTTTGTATGTTGTTAGTCTTTTGAATTTAATCAGCTGGGCAATTGGAAGCCAGTGGAGGAATTGGCAGAGAGGGGTGGCAGACAATGAGCAGCTGGTAAGGTAGATGAGACTGGCAGCAGCATTCATCATAGACTAAAGGGGGAATAGCCTGTAAGAGAAGGGAGTTACATCTGTGAAGGCGAGAGATAAAGGAGTGAATGAGTAGTTTGGAGGTTTTTTTAGTTAAAAAGGGGCAAATGTTAGAGATATTACGGAGCTGAAATCAACAAACTTTTGACAGTAATTGGATTTGTGGCTGAAAGGACAGGTCAGAGTCTAGAATTACACCTAGTACCCTGGTGTGAGGGGAGGGACTGATAGTTGTATTATTGATCTTATGAATATTACAAGCTCAGTTTTAGAAAACATTTAGTTTGAAGAAGTGTTGTGACATCTATATTGATATTGTATGTCAGTAAGTTAGTAATACAAGGAAAAGGAATGTCCAGAATCCACTGCACTCTTCAATATGTATTAAATATAGGTAAAATCAGCATCACAAACAGTGTAAGGAACAGCAAAAGTTACCTATATTTAATAAGGATTGAAGAGTGCAGCGGATTCCGAATGTTCCTTTCCCTTGTAGTTTCAGAGACGAGCTATGTGAGCACCTTCATCGAACTGATAAGTGTGTTCAGCGAACATGCAAATGGCCGATGTTCGAGTCAAACAACATCAAGCCCATCTCTATTGTAGGCTAAAAGTTCTAAAACTTTAGAGGTAAATCGGAGCAAGGATATACTGTAGGTCTTAAGTTGTTCAGGTTGGTGGGGTCCACTGAGGGCTTTTTAGGTATAGGAGTCATCTGTGCATACTTCAGAGGTGAGGTGATGATGCTAGCAGAGAGGGAGAGATTGAAGATGTGAGTGACAGAGCATTTGATAGAACAGGGTGACTGTAATAATTGTGAGGGGACAGGATCCAGGGAACAATTGGTTAGATGTGTATCTGAAAAAATTTTGGTAACCTCTTCAGTAGTAGCCTGCTCAAACAAGGAAAGTATTGAATGTGCTGTTAGACAGGGTATGTTAAATGGGGAAGATACCCGTGCAGTGGAGATGTCCTTACAAATTGAATTAATCTTGCTTTTGAAGTGATTGGCAATCTCTTGGGCAATGAGTGAATCAATCAGTGGAGGCAGTAGGGTACAAAGTAGAAAGTTATAAGTAGAGAAGCGCTAACAAGGACTGGATGACAAGGCATTAATAAGATTGACAAAGTAGGTTTCTTTGGCAGCATGGGGACAGGAATTGTATTTTATGAGAACAGATTTGTATAGGGTGAGGTTTTGCTTTATTCTGTGTTTAGTTAGAGAGGCAAGTGCATCCAGTGAGGATGCGATATCATAACTAAATATAAAGCTACTTGCAATTATCCACATAGACATCATCCGAGTTCACAGTGAAGCCCAGATTAACTCTGGGAACACAGATGAATAGATGGAGTAATCCATGGTACAAAGACAAAGCACCATCCCACTGGAACTAGAGTACACAGGCATAAATAAGGGAGGGATTCCCACATTAGCACGGTATTTTGTATAGGCTGCATGGTATTAGGTTCTGGCCCAGTTGCCCACATACTGGTTTTGACACTGGAGAGCCTCTCACTTGGCTGTAGATCATTTCCCAGCTACCTCTATTTTCTCAGGCATGAGCTCTGAGTTCCTGAGGGAGGGAAGCTGAGGAATTTATACTCCTTGGCTGTGTCCATGAACCCATAGAGTTCTAGAAATTGAAGTCCAAGGGGCCTGCACCTACATCTGAGCATAATGAGTAAACAGACACTCATCTACAGTATTACTGCACAAGATGTGCTATTATTTAACATTATATTTCATACTATGCAACAAATCTGTAATATACTATACATAAATTCTAGGTCTCTACTTTGTAACACCTATAGTAAGGTGGAGTACTTTAATTGCATTTAGAGCCAAACATTTCCTTTAGTTATGGATAGGATAGGTGAGGATTGGGCTCACGGTCAATTTTTCATTGCTGTTTGTGCGCCAAGTGCGGTAGATTTATTCTTTCTGTTCTGGTGACCATTATTAGAGACAAAATCTAATGGGACATCCAGAATGTTACAGTCACCATGTCAGGAATCTAGGAATGACCAGAAAGGTGTGGACTGACACAGGGAAACGCAGGTTTCAGGTATAGTATAATAATACAGGTTATTATTAGCCACCCAGATATATATATATATAAACGCACAGCGAACAAACCCAACCTTCCACTAATCTTAGTAGGTGCAGGAACACAGGCGTAGTCAGGGCTGGAGAGGTGGAACGGTCAGGCCGGCCGTAGGGTTCTGTAATGACTGTTTGGTGGTACCTCTAGTGGTCCCCAGGACAGGATTCCCCAGGGCGCGGAGTCTAAGTCCCAGTCTGCTTTTTCACCAGGGCTCCTGATGGTGGGGATGGACTTGGAGCAGACAGGAACCAGTTCGCGGCCCCTGAGTACACCTGCTAGTGGTAGAGGGATCCGCCAGAGGTATGTGCAGGTACAGCTGGATCCGTGCAGGATGGATGGATGGCAGAGTAGTTAGCGTGGACAGACGGGCCAAGTCAGCAATGTGCGGGCAGCAAGGTACCAAAAGGAGCAGGCAGAGAATGGTCAAGGTCACAAGCCGGGTTCAGTAACTCACGGACAGCGCGGTACAGGGGATCAGGCAGAAGGATGGTCAGGCAAGCCAGGGGTTCAACAGGAGATGGTCAGCAGAGGTCAGGATCAAGCCGGGTCAGCAACGAAGCAGGAACACAGGATACCAGGTACAGAGGCTCATGGGAAAACATACACCAAGTCCCAGAGCACAGGCCTGGCCATGCCTTAAATACGAAAAATTAATAATAGTGCCTATGGTCAAAATTATATTACTTGCTCCGTGAGGACGTCGATGACGAAACGCGTAGGGCGGAGCTTGATTGATGTGACGTCATTACGTTTTTGGCTGCCAGCTACTGCGCATGTGCTGAGTAGCCAGGCTCGTTTATGTGATTGCTGTTATGCTGTTGATGCTGGTGTCGGCTGGGACACCTCTTGAGTAAGTGCAATGAGTACCTAATAAAGGAATTGGTTTTTATAATATTGCACCATGAAGTCTCTCTGTTTCTCTCGAGTGCTTGGCATTTCCCCCCATGGATACGTTTGAAGGTGGTCCTTTATCTATTGGAGAAGTGGATTTTCGATTAATTACAAAGTTTTTCATCCTGTTATTTCGATCGATGAGGATCGGTGTGTTGCAGAGTTTCCGTTTCTGAAGATATATTTATGGATGATCTGCCATTATATTATCAAGGTTTTTTGGTGAAATTTTTCATATTTAGACACTTTTTTTGCACAAAAGTTTTTTGCACTTAAAAGTTTTTTTTTTTTTTTTTTTTATTTTTTTGTGGTATTGGCATATATATATATATTTTTTTCTGGACTTATGATTTGATGATTTCTTTATATATATTTTATATATTTATACACATTTACTAGCGCAAATTATTTATTTATTGGTACATGCCTTAAATACACCTTTCTGCAATCAGCCCCAGGTTTGGCTGATTGCTCGTGTGAGCTTCTGGCTGCTGAGAGCACCCGCTGGTCAGCTCTGGTACTGCAGCCCACACGGCAGGTGAGTCCCACCACCAGTGCTGAGTCCATTCCTGACAGTACCCCCCCCTCAAGGACGCTCCAGACAGTCCTTAGTGGGCAAAAAGTTCCACCGCCCGGGTCAGGTAACTGGCTGAATATCCAACTGCCAGAGAAAACCGTCTGGCTGGGTTTCCTGCTGGTAGACTTCTCTTTGTGTAGGAGAACCCAGGAAGGCAGGTCACTGGGCACAGGATTTCCAGGAGCAGGCTGGGAATCAGTTATTGGCCAGTATAGCTGGACATCAGGGGCTGGCATGTCGGGCTGTGCAGCGGGCAGAGGCACGTCAGCGGGCACCGAGTCATCTGGCACGACAGCGGGCACCGAGTCACCAGGCACATCAGCGGGCACCGAGCCATCTAGCAGAACCACGGGCACAGAGTCACCTGGCAAGTCAGCGGGCACCGAGTCACCGGGCATGTCAGCGGGCACCGAGCCATCTAGCAGAACCGCAGGCACAGAGTCACCTGGCAAGTCAGCGGGCACCAAGTCACCGAGCATGTCAGCGGGCACCGAGCCATCTAGCAGAACCGCGGGTACCGGGTCACCAAGCTCGACAGCAGGCACCAAATGAACTGGCACAACAGTGGGCACTGAATCAACTGGTACGACAGCGGGCACCAAGGCATCAGGCATCAGGTCATGTGGCTCAACAGCGGGCACTGGGTCCTCAGGCATCAGGTCATCTGGCTCGACAGCGGGCACCGAGTCAACTTGCACGACAGCGGGCACCGAGTCATCAGGCATCAAGTCATCCGGCTCAACAGCGGGCACCGAGTCAACTGGCACGACAGTGGGCACAGAGTCAACTGGCACCGAGTCAACTGGTACGACAGCGGGCACCAAGTCAACCGGCACGACAGCGGGCACCGACTCATCAGGCATCAAGTCATCTGGCTCAACAGCGGGCACCGAGTCAATTGGCACCGAGTCAACTGGTACGACAGCGGGCACCAAGTCAACTGGCACGACAGCGGGCACCGAGTCATCAGGCATCAAGTCATCCGGCTCAACAGCGGGCACCGAGTCAACTGGCACGACAGTGGGCACCGAGTCAACTGGCACAGAGTCAACTGGTACGACAGCGGGCACCAAGTCAACCGGCACGACAGCGGGCACCGAATCATCAGGCATCAAGTCATCAGGCTCGACAGCGGGCACCGAGTCAATTGGCACCGAGTCAACTGGTACGACAGCGGGCACCAAGTCAACTGGCACCGAGTCAACTGGTACGACAGTGGCACCAAGTCAACTGGCACGACAGCGGGCACCGAATCATCAGGCATCAAGTCATCTGGCTCGACAGCGGGCACCGAGTCAGCTGGCACCGAGTCAACTGGCATGACAGCGGGCACCGAGTCAACTGGCACCGAGTCAACTGGTACAAACAGCGGGCACCAAGTCAACGGGCACGACAGCGGGCACCAAATCAGGCATCAAGTCATCTGGCTCGACAGCGGGCACCGAGTCAACTGGCACCTAGTCGACTGGCACGACAGCGGGCACCGAGTCGACTGGCACGATGGTACAGCGAGTGGGAGCAGGGTACTGACATGTGGTAGATAGCAGGGTATACTGGGCTGTCAGTGGGGGTGCTGTCGGGAATGCAGGAAAAGAGCTTTGAGCAGAGGAATGATGAGAAACAGGACTGGTTCGTTGCAAGCTGATTGAGACTGAGTGTAACAAGTCTGACCATGTCTGCAGTAAGGGTTGGACAACGCTCAGCTTACACAAGGCCTGTCTGGTCAAAGATTGCAATGCGTTTATACACTTCTTTAGCACATGTGGTGAACATGCTGAATAATGCTCCAAGAAGCAATCCGGATCATCCTCCAACAACCATACCAGTGATATTATTTGACTCACCCTGAATGGAGGAAGGAATTCATCCCTGCTTTCAGGGGTTCTAGATGAAGCCAACTCAAACACAAGCCTGAATCAATGGTTGCACCTCAGAGAGCTCTAGGACCTGACCTACTAGGGAATGAGCGACCCGTATGCACTCTAGCAGCTGATCCCTGGTATACTCCCGCAGAGTCTGATAGGCATATTCTCTGTCATCAAAGACTAGCATAGACAAATATATAACCTCATCAGGATGCATCCTTCACAACAAGTCAAGATGGCTTCCCTGTGCAGCCACTTCTAGTCAGGAAGGCCTTGGTGTGATGTCAGGAATCTAGGAATGACCAGAAAGGTGTGGACTGACACAGGGAAACGCAGGTTTCAGGTATAGTATAATAATACAGGTTATTATTAGCCACCCAGATATATATATATATATAAAACGCACAGTGAACAAACCAACCTTCCACTAATCTTAGTAGGTGCAGGAACACAGGCGTAGTCAGGGCTGGAGAGGTGGAACGGTCAGGCCGGCCGTAGGGTTCTGTAATGACCGTTTGGTGGTACCTCTAGTGGTCCCCAGGACAGGATTCCCCAGGGCGTGGAGTCTAAGTCCCAGTCTGCTTATTCACCAGGGCCCCTGATGGTGGGGATGGACTTGGAGCAGACAGGAACCAGGTCACGGCCCCTGAGTACACCTGCTAGTGGTAGAGGGATCCGCCAGAGGTATGTGCAGGTACGGCTGGATCCGTGCAGGATGGATGGATGGCAGAGTAGTTAGCGTGGACAGACGGGCCAAGTCAGCAATGTGCAGGCAGCAAGGTACCAAAAGGAGCAGGCAGAGAATGGTCAAGGTCACAAGCCGGGTTCAGTAACTCACGGACAGCGCGGTACAGGGGATCAGGCAGAAGGATGGTCAGGCAAGCCAGGGGTTCAACAGGAGACGGTCAGCAGAGGTCAGGATCAAGCGGGGTCAGCAACAAAGCAGGAACACAGGATACCAGGTACAGAGGCTCATGGGAAAACATACACCAAGGCCCAGAGCACAGGCCTGGCCATGCCTTAAATACACCTTTCTGCAATCAGCCCCAGGTTTGGCTGATTGCTCGTGTGAGCTTCTGGCTGCTGAGAGCACCCGCTGGTCAGCTCTGGTGCTGCAGCCCACACGGCAGGTGAGTCCCACCACCAGTGCTGAGTCCATTCCTGACACACCACTAAACAAGAGGTGAGGGTAAATCTTGCAAAAAGAACATTCTGGTGACAACAAAATGGAATAAATTCTGTTACTTTGTAGAGATTTGATCTCAATTCCTGAAACAGAAAATTAAGGGAAGTGTCAAGACAAGATGTTTTATGAATCAAGGATTATTTTTGGTTGCAATACAGCTATATCTGTCTAATCCAAGGTATAGTTTTCAGAGATAAGAGAACATAAAAATTTTAATACTAGCATCTGTGAATCTACTAATATTATGTCTCCTCCTGAATTTCAAACTGTGTTTGCTATGATATTTTTACATTTCACCCACTGTTCATTTTATGTGCTTTCTCTTGGTGAAGGCATCATACATTCTGGTTTTACATGTGATGTTTCAGGAAAAATACACAAATCTGATTCTCTTACCCTAATTTTAGGTCCAGTGTTCTGAGCATTGTGACAGAATGTCTAACTGATTAATCAACCATGATCTGGCCTTGCCATCTTAAATATACAAATCAAAGATAGGATGATTCACCTTACTCCTCAGGCCAAATTATTTTAATTTCCTCATCAGAGTTAACAACATCCCTATAACGTTAAGTCAAAAATGTACTGCACTTCATTGCATCTATGACTTGTTTATCATGAAATCTATGCCACAAAGATACACACTGTATATTTCTTAGAATATTTGAAAATGTATTCACTGTACACATATAATGATCCTACATAGTACACAAAAAAAATGCTGTGACTAACAAACACTTCAGTACAGTTAAATCGAAGACCACCACGGAAATTGCATATTGTATATAGCTGACTTTTGACACGGCACCTGTCCTCAGGCCACATACCTCATACATGTTTCAGACCTCCTAGGGTTCAATCATAGAGGTAAAACATGTCAGAAGGGTGTTGCCTAAGTACAGAGATTGTGGCAACAGCCAGCAATATATAATAAACTTGTGGGCAGGGCTTAATGTGCCCAGTAGTGAGGATCCAGGGTGAGCTCTCAGTGCCCCCAGTGGAGGGCTGAGACTGTGGTCATGTGAAGTCAGCTTTAAGGAAGTACTCTGAATTAAAAGCGAGATTCCTCCATGAGCACACTGTTAACTCTTTACAATTGTGACTGAACTTCTACACTCATGTCCTTGCTTGGTATGGACATCACCCTTACTATACTTTATTGTACATTTTATCTCGCTCTAATTGTGCAGCATTTCTAAGCCGTACTGCATAGCTCCACTAATCTAATAACTCTGCCTCCTCACTCCCAGTGACATTGATGCGCACATTGCTATAGAATATAGGAAGATAACTTCTTCATAAACTCCTGCTTGGACTACTGCTATGCCTTCTAGGCTAGATTCCTAGGTAACTCATGCTGCAAGACCAGTCCCAGTATGTGGGGAATCTATTTCTAGCAAAAGTGCCAAGCCTCAACCCCCTCCACCACCAGAGCCTCCATCACCACTGCCATGTCACCATCGTACAGATTAACTGGCTTCTTTAGCATCCAACACAAGCACAGTAGTCATTACCATTGGCAATATAGGCCCCCTTAGGACAGCTCTCTGCTCATTAGACCTCTGTACTGCAACTTCATCTTACTTCTGTTATCCCCTTTAATAAACCCTATCCTTTGGTATGCCATACATGTGCTACTTTAGAGACTTCAGACCAGGCAGTTTAGCTGAACAACAAGTTCTTTACTGAGTAACTAAAGGTAGCAAGTAAACAGTTCTCAAAAGACATATTCCACACACAGTCCTGTACAAATTCCTCTAAGTGCCCTTTTTTGTTATGCCCCTGATGCTCGCTTGTACCCCATGAGGTAGTCATACATATTTAGGTGTGAAAGTAAAATAGAGTCATTAACAAGGCAAGAGTCCATGATTGGTGGCAAATTCATACTTGGCAGCATACATCCATAGTCAGATGCCCAAGTCCATGTAGATCCATACCTGTTGGAACCCCCCCACTGGGTTCCCACAAGGAGTGGTCAAGCAACAGAGTGATGGCTACATCCTTTATGGCAGAAGGCCCTGAGAGACACAGTAAGTCCCCCTTTTATATGCTTTGACCTGCATAGGGTGCTATTCTCCTGAAAAGTGAGGGAAAACCTGTCCATCAGTTTTTCAATTTTTACTATATGCATTGAACTAGACGAGCTCTTTTGACCTGCACCCAGAGCAGTGGACTTTCTGAGAGGCAGTTTTAGGAGCCTGGAGCAGTGAAGTTTTTCTTTTGGCACTTCAGTACAGTTATTTCCAGCTTCTGATAGCTTTTGTGTCCTATTTCTCCTTTAAAGTGACTATATGGTGGAGGGAAATGCAAAAAAGGATGTCCAGCAAAAGAAGAGTATTTATACTCACTTGTCCCACGTTCATTTCTGCGCTCCCATGTTAATTTTTGCTCTCCTGCTTATCTATAGCCTGTTCACA